CTGGGCAGGGAATGCTGGTAGTCCACATGCAGGAGTATGCTATAATAATGACTAAAACTAATCACCTCTCAGGACTGTGAACTCAAAACTTCCATCTAACTCAGTCCCGAATCGATGTGGAAAATGGATTTACAAAGTCCTGAAATGTCTCCTGGGAGTGCAGACTACCTCAGGGGTGAAGAAGGAAGTTGGGTCAACCAGCAGGGAGCAATGGCCTCCATCTTGAATCACAACTGGGCTCTGCTCAAGTGTCAGTTAGTCCCGTCTCCTGGTTTGAAGCGGCACACAATGAGAAGTGACTTGAATACCACAACATGTGAAGCAAATTGGTCACACGTTGGTAATAAACAGAACTAAAAAGGGGCTGTTGTGGTGATAGTATCCCTACCTTTGAGCCAGGAGACCTGGGTTTAAGACCTACCTAATCCAGAGGAGTGTAATAATACCTCTGAGTAGATTGATTAGGAACATATCTATCAAACAGAGCTGCTCCATACTTCATTCCACTTGCCTAACCCCTCACAGACCTCAATGGTAGTTGGTCACCTAATGTAGAGCATTTCAAGTCTTGCTCTTTGAATCTAGATTCTCTTCAATACTTCCTTGCCTACTTGCCATCTTGTGGTAACTCGAACCTTCTCTTCAACGTCCCTTCATTCCCAAACCATCACTTCATGATTGATGGAGAATCATGACTGACAGCGCTCTGGAGTTCTTGTAAAAATCTCCCTCCAAATCTCCCTCCACCTTGGAGACTTTTCCAAAAGCACATCTCTTTTCTTGAGTCTCCAGATGCACTATCCATTCCTCAGCCCATTCCTCTGATATGTTTTGTATCTTTCCCTCTCATGGGTAGTTTATCTACATTAAAAGGCACTGCACAGGTACAAGTTCTTTTTGTTAAATGTTCTGAATAGCCCGGACAGTAAGTGGACAAACTAACCCGCAATTCTCTTGCTTCAATGCTTCCACTGGGTACTGCATATGTGCAGCCTTTAAACTGTGCTGGGGATGAGGTCTGACTGTGACCCTCCTGCGCTAGAATTACGTCATCACTGACTAAGCTGTCACTTTAGAATTACCAACTGGATGAGTTATCAAAAGGTCAACTAACATCTGTGGCACACAAATGAATGACTGACCTCAGAAGACAGGAAAATCTATCACCAGTAAAGACAATTAGCTTTGTTGCCATTCAATGGAGGATGTTGTTAAACTTGACAGGACGCACAAAAGATTTACAAGGATGTTGCTGGGGTTGGAGACTTTGAGTTTATAGGGAGAGGCTGAATAGACTCGGGCTTTTGGGGGGTCGGAGGCTGACGGCTGACCTCATACAGGTTTATAAAACCATGAGGGACATGGATAGGGTGTACAGCTAAGGTCTTTTTCCCAGGGTGGGGGAGTCCAAAACTAGGCAACATAGGTTGAAGGTGTGAGGGGAAAGATTTAAAAAGGATCTGAGGGGCAACTTTTTCACTCAGAGGGTGGTGCATGTATGGAATGAGCTGCCAGAGGAAGTGGGGGAGGCTGGTACAATTACAACATTTAAAAGGCATCTGGATGGGTACATGACTAGGAAGGGTTTAGAGGGATATGGACCAAATGCTGGCAAATGGGACTGGGTCAGATTGCGATGTCTGGTTGTTGCAGATGAGTTGAACTGAAGGGTCTGTTTCTACGCTGTACATCTCTATGACTCTATGATTAATCAAATTTTCTTCATCTTTAGACTCAGTCCTTTTGGATGCTCAGAGATCTGAACTCTGTTTCTCATCAAACGACAGGAATAGCTAAAGCAGAACAATTTTACTTTTCACTATAATTCTCAGCAGTAATCTTTCAAAAGGTCTGATCAGCCGGATTCCCTCTTTAATAGTTCTTGAAATGACCTCCGAAGCAAAAATAGTGAGACGAGATCTCAAGAGGATTCTGCAAGTAGCAGACAATGGTTGTACTATGCCAAGACATGGTTATGAGTCCCTGCTCTAAACTCCAGTCCGAAGCGACTGACATTTGATTCCAAGATGAGCATCCGACCTCATATTTGCTCTGCCAACCAGACTGCCTATTTCCATCTCTGTAACATCCTCCTACTTCGCCCCTGTCTCAGCTCATCTGCTGCAGAAGCCCTCACACATGCCTTCATTAGCTCCAGCCTTCACCATTCCAATGTATTCCTGGTCTGCAGCACCCTATCCTCTGTAGAATTGAATTTAGCAAAGACTCTGCTGCACATCTGTTAACTCTCACCAAATCCCAATTCCCTTTCACTCTGGTGCAACGCCTTGACTTTCAAATTCTCAGACTTCAAATTCAAGTTTCACCGTGTCCAGGTCCCATCTCCAACCTCACAATCCTCCGAGACACAGCCATTGTAATTCATTGGTACATGCACTTATGAAAATATGGTAAAATGTGTATAAGTTGCCATAAGCCGGCGCCAGTTTAATTACACAAATTCTGAAAAGAAAGGAATCATATAAAGTTGCGACAAATGACTTCTTTTGTTTCATCCACGGCTTAGTGATTCCCAGAGTGGCTACAGGACACCGCCACACTCCGCAGGTGCCAAACCATTCCCCGAGGATGCAGCAACAAGGAAGTCACCGATACTCCAGCTGCTGCCATCGCCAAGAGACTGCCCCAAACTCTCGTGGATCAGGGTCCGTTCCCAACTTCCGAGAACCGGCTGACTGCCCAAATAAACTGCCAAGGGCTGAGAGATCACCCACCCGAGGGATCGTGCACTCCGCTGCCATTGCGGACCTCACCGAAACACATCAGAGGAAAAGAACGGACTCCCTGATCCATCAACGCTGGAATAGCTGCTCAAGTCGTACCCGCCATAACATTGAGGGATGGACTGGATCCGCCACACAACAGCTCTCTCAAACCTCTTCCCACTGCCGCAGCCACAAAGAGGAGAAAACTACCTGTGCTCATCTAATTTTCTAAATGCTCTACTGTCAGTTCTGAGGAAGGGTCACTGGACCCGAAACATTAACTCTGTCTTTTCCTTCACAGACCTGTTGAGCTTTTCCAGCAACTTTTGTTCTCGTTGTTGTCAGTGCCTTTAGTTATCTACGTCTTAACTCCAGGAATACCCTCCCTACACACTTCCACCTCTCTTTCTGTCTTAAAGTCACTAATGAAAGTCTACCTCTTTGGCCGAGTTTATAGTATCTGACTTAATATCCATGTTTGGCTTGACTTTGTTTTAGAATATCGCTGGAAGGTGATTGGGAGCATTTTATGACATTAAGGATGCTACGTAAGTGGTTGCAACTGAAGGCTCAGAATTTTTGCTCTTTTTACAAGCTGTATTTATATGAACCGAGAGAGGCAAAGTGGGGAGGGAGGTGTCTGGCTGAGCCTAAATGATGTCAGAGCCCCGACGCTGGAAATCCTGCCCCTAAACCTGACATCCCATTTTTGTCAGGAGGTGACCAGGGATAGGTTGTGTCTTGCACCTCCATTGCTAACATGCAGCTGCCATCAGTCAGATCTAATTTTCATTACAGGGATATCCAAACCATGACTTGCAGGATTTAGACATTTCTGGAGAAGGTCTACAGCAGACAGATTCATTTATTAAGGTAGGATACCCCTTTGGAAAGGTGTGACATCCTTTTGGATAGATCTGGCAACACTTTTACAGGAGGTCGGGTGCCCTTTTGGAAAGCTCAGGTGTCCTTTGGGATTGTTAAAAGCAGACATGAATGGGTGTGAAAAGAAGTCTAAGCTCATTGGAGTTGTCAAGCTGTCACAGAAAATGTCAAGCCATCAAGGGAAGTGTCAAACTCACTGAATCGGAATTGCCAAACTGTCAGGTCATGTAAATCTTCTGGCCTTTAAACTTTTGACTAAATGGTCCACAGTGTTTTGAAAAAGTCTCTGTCTGCCATTTTAGCCTGTTGACATAAGCTCACTGGCTACCATTAAAAAGATCTGTACTGCATGACCGATTTCACAACCTAATGTTAGTGCAGTGGGTTGCCTGTCAGTTTACAGTTTGAGTAACAGCTCTAAGATTTATAAAGTCTTTGAAGTGGAACTATGAATACAAATGCTTGTTTTTATAGGGCTCAAATGCTCAAAGGAAGTGAAATGTAGTAAATGAGTTCTTAAATCAATGAATGCTTTTAAACAACAACTGAATTCTCAATGGACACTTAGAACATTACTTTATTTCATCTCAGCACGGGTTCTGAGGATTGCTCATGTGTGAGTTAACATAATAGTATCAGGGTAAATAGTGATGCATGAGGGTTCATGGGCTGGCATGACTTGGAAGTAAGGTTAAACAGAGGCTACAAAAGGCCTTATAGGGTGGTGAGGTGGTGGTAGAAAGTGGCACAGGGACTGTGTGCGCTGCAGGGTAAGAAGAATGATGGCTTTTTTTTTGTTTTATTGCTTTCCTGTCAGCTGTGACCGAGTCTTACAAAGGCCTGGCTCTGCTGCCCCCGTGTGGTCATCTCCGATCTCTACAGTGGGACAACCAACACCAACTCTGGCCCGGAACAGAACTCTCTGACTCTCTGGGGCACCATCACCCAAGTCTGGAGGGTGGAGACAGGAACTTTCAACTCTGCATACCCAACAGCAGGATCGGAAATTCAGACCAAAATCTTTGAATTGGAATAAAATATCAACTGAACACCTACAAAGGTTGCAAATAAATAACTGCTGACAAGAAGTGCCTCTGTAAGAGAGAAAGCCTTTGGTGTAAGAACTTAGTTATCTCATCCTATTTTGTTTGTTGTGGAAGTCATCCACAGCAGGTTCTCTAGTTGTGGTCAACTTTGATTCCATCCAGATCACACATATAGAACAAAATCTTTTGTTTTTTAGCCCAATCTTGAAGTGTTGTTGATTTGCAAGCATAATTCTTTGTAAACAGAGGGATCTAACCTGTTATACGCTTCCTAAATACTTGCATTGGGCAAAGCGAGCTTTTAACATTAGAATTAAAGTGGCTAAAGGAAGCTATGACTTACACAGAGCAGATGGAGAGCGATAGCCCCATGTTTTCTTTCCTCGTTTGTAAAGATGTCATTGGGGAATTCACGAAGAGCTGAAAAAGAAAAGATACGGTGAATTCATTCCACTCAAACGCCATGAGAAAGCAGACAGGACCAATTCACTTATTTAGTACGTGCTCAGCTCGGAGAGGGCTAGAAAGGGAGCACCGGTTGGAGTAGCAAGGTTGAAGTTGTGGCTTTCTGACTCACACGTGGTTTCAGCTGCATGGCTCACAAAGGATTGATGGCGTTTCTGTTGGCCACTCTGCCCCTTTCCCTCCTCCCCACCCATTCAGAAGCCCGATCTCACTCAGTCGCTGATCTAGGAAGGAAGGGGCAGCGAACTGGCACACCACAGAACTCACTTTCTGCCGTCATGAGAGCACAGCCGCGAGCAAAGTAGGCTAAGGAATATCAGGAATAGTAGGAACTGCCGATGTTGGAGTCTGAGATAACAAGGTGTGGAGCTAGAGGAACACAGCAGGCCAGGCAGCATCAGAGGAGCAGGGAAGCTGATGTTTCAGGTTGGGACCCTTCTTCAGAAATCTTTGCATTTTCTGAAGGAGGCTCCCGACCCCAAAACGTCAGCTTTCCTGCTCCTCTGATGCTGCCTGGCCTGCTGTGTTCATGCAACTCCACACCTTGCTATCTGAGGAAAAGCAGGACCCAGCGACATATAGAACCGGCTCACGTTGTATTGCACAGTAGTGTGAAATGCCTCTAGGGATACAGCTCTTGGCAAGTCAAGGCCCACGATAGTTATGCACCATCATAGAAGCCCTACAGTGTGGAAGCAGGCTATTGGACCCATTGTTTGCACATCCACCCTCCAAAGAGCATCTCACCCAGACCCACCTCCTACCCTGTAATGTTGTATTTCCAATGGCTAACCCACCTGGCCTGCACAGCCCTGGACACTAAGGGCAATTTAACATGGCCAATCCACCGAACCTGCACATCTTTGGACTGTGGGAGGAAACCCACGCAGACACGGGGAGAATGTGCAAACTCCACACAGATGGTTGCCCGAGGGTAGAGTTGAACCCGGGTCCCTGGGGCTGTGAGGCAGCAGTGCTAACCACTGAGCCCTAAATGCAGGCCACTCACTCCGCTTTCCCCAGCCACAGCTGCTATCCCTATGAGACCTGTTTCATGCCATTCCCATCCACACTGGGAGTACAGCCACCATCTGGAAAGGATTTTATCAGGAACTGAGACCGTTCCTATCTCCCGGAAGGTGTGATGTTGCCGTTTAAGTGGTTCGTCTAGATATTTATTACTGCTTCATTGGAAAGGATTGGCAATTGAAACTCAATGGGAAAGGAGTGAAGGGACAAAGTGAAGCCATTAGGGATAGAGATATAAAGGCGGAAAGTTATAGCAATAAATACATATTGCTGCTAAAGGAAGTGACTCCTATCCATTGTGAACCAAAGTCCATACGAAGGCCAGATGAATCTCAATTCATGCCGTTCCATCAAAAATAGAATCGAATAAATCAGTTTAACCTCGCATAGGTTTCATCATTTTATGGCAAACAATAATAAATGCCCCAGAGCTTTGATTCATCTTTGTCCAGTGTTCTTTAGGGAAGGAAACGTGCCATCCTTACCTGGTCTTGCCAACATGTGGCTCCAGACCTGGAGCAATGTGTGAGGCTCCTAACTGCCCTCTGCAATGCTCAGCAAGTCACTGAGTTGACACTGAAAGGCAATAAGATTTGGGAAGGCTGGTCAAGGCAACGATGCCCACATCCAGTGGGCAAATTCATTTGAAAGGGTTGCCAACCCTTCTGGAAGAAGCTTATCTCCAGGATAGCGCACAGGAGTCAGGTCCTTAGGGCATTCATCAACGTAGTTAATTTTCCCCTCAGTTTCTTTTGACCATTTGTTCAGGAAATCACTGGAGCTTGGTTTAAAAAGCTGAGAGTTAAGAATCATTGTCCGATGATGTGCAGACTAGGGTGGATTGACCTTGCTAAATTACCAGTAGTGTCCAGGGAAGTGCAAGCTAGATGGATTAGCCATTGGAAATGCGGGGTTACAGGGATAGCGTAGAGGGGTACGATGTTCTTCAGTGGGTCAACGGCCTGCTTCCACATTGTAGGCATTCTACGATTGGCGAGGGTGACAATGATGGGTGACCAATGCTAGTTAGGGACGTGGGGGCAGAATTTGTCTGCGGGAGAAGAGGGTCATATTCTGAAACTTGCAGGCAAACGTTCAACCAGAGTTGGCAACTGTATCCAATTCAGATGTTTATTTTTAATTGCGTGTCTTTTTTTTTGAGTCTTAGTCTTTTTTATTATTAAAACAGAGAGAGAGGAGCAATAAATCTTTTCAGCTGCTCATGACTGGTGAGAGTACAAATCACTGCAACGTTATCCAATGGATAATCAACTCGGAGTGATTTATAAACACAATGAAGAGTTATGGAAGACTTAATTACAACAGCGATGCCTCCTTAACGTTATTTACATGAATTACCATTACTCTGAAGGCACAGGCCATATAAGAACAGAAAGAATGATGGATGCTCTTGCTCACTGGCAGGTTCCAAACACTGCCTGCCTAGGCCAAAAAAGATAGCATCTGGTTTATTAAAACTGTTTTATTTTCTCCACTTCACATTCCCGCTGCTGCAGTAATCACTTACTCTTCTTCATATTCTTTTAAATCCTATTTGAAGGCATCTCCCTGATAGAGGAGGAGTGCTAACAGAGTTGATGAGGCCTACCTGCTGTGGTAATGACACATCCAAACCAGCAAGGTTCGATCCCTGGCCTGCTGAGCTCATCTCCAAAACTGCCCTGGTTGCTGAGCTACACAACAGGGATAAAGCGTCCCAGATTAGTGTCCTGTACCCAATCTCTATTCTGCAGTCTCCATAAAAAAACTACTAATATTGGATGGAGACTAATATAAATTATACCAGTATGCTGGTCTCTCGTGTCAGACATCAACGAATCATAGAGATGTCCAGCACGGAAACAGACCCTTTGGTCCAACTTGTCCATGCCAACCAGATATCCTAAATTAATCTAGTCCCGTTTGCCAACATTTGGCCCTTATCCCTCGAAACCCTTCCTATTCATAGAGCTATCCAGATGCCTTTTAAATGTTGTAATTGTACCAGCCTCCACCACTTCCTCTGTGTGAAAAAGTTGTCCCTCAGGTCCCTTTTAAACCTTTCCCCTCTCACCTTAAACCTGTGCCCTCTAGTTTTGGACTCCCCTACCCTGGGGAAAAGACGTTGGCTAGTCACCTATTCATGCCCCTCATACAAAGCCTCTATTTTATCATTTTCATTCTTATTTTGAAATCCCTCCACAAGCTCATGGATTAGAATCATAGAATCCCTACAGTGTGGAAGCAGGCCATTCAGCCCATCGAGTCCACACCGACCTCCAAAGAGCACCCCCTACCCTATCTCTGTACCCTTGCATTTCCCATGGCTAATCCACAAAAGCTACACATCCCTGGACACTATGGGTAATTTCCCATGGACAATCCACCCTAACCTGCACATGTTTGGACTGTGGGAGGAAACCAGAGCACCCAGAGGAATCCCATGCAGACACAGGGAGAATGTGCAAACTCCACATGGACAGTCGCCCGAGGGTGGAATTGAACCTGGGTCCCGGGCACTCTGGGGCAGCAGTACTGGCATACCACCAGCATTAGAAGCAAGTTTTCAAAGATATGCTGAAAATACTAGAAACATCTCGCCAAAGAGCTATTCCTCAATCTTGCTCCTGTGTGCAGCTAGAACAAAGAATCCGAATCATTGCAACACAGGAGACCACTTGGCTCATTGTGTCCGTACTAGCCCTCTGAGTGAGCACCTTCACATGTCCCCACTCTGTTATCTTTTGCCAAAACGCCTACAAATCCTTTCTCTTCATTTAGTTATCCAATGTCCCTTTGGAAGGCCTCAACTGAACCTGCCTCACACTCTCAGGCGGAGAATTCCTGATCCTGACCACTGGCTGTGAACCTTAACCTGCACCTCTGGATCACTGGTCTGTTAAGATAACCAACATGCCACTGTCTATCCGAAATGATTATTTAATCGTTCCCAGGAATTCTCATTAAACTAACATAATTGAAGAATGTGTATTGGTCACTCTTTATGGGAATGAGTGCTTGTGGACGCTGAGCTGGCTAGTCTCCCATATTCTACCACCATAAACTTGAGGTTATCCAAAACCCTGTGCTGGCTGACCTACACTGGCTTCTGGTAAAGCAACATTTTGGTTTTAAAATCTTCATCCTCGCTTTCAAATCTCTCTGTGCCGTCAGCTCTCCCTTATCTGTAATTCCTTCCAGTTCCATAACCCTGCAGACATCTGTGTTCAGTTCTGGCCTCTTGAACATCCCTGATATTCAACGGACTGAAATTGTTCCAGTGGTTATAGCCTTATCTTCAGCTCTCTGGGCTTGAAGGGCTGAATTCCCTCCTATAATCTCCCCAAAGCTTGCCGACTTTCTTTGCCGTACTTCTTAAAGCCAGCCTCTTTGATCAACCTTTTTGGTCACCAGATGATATCGCTTTAATCACTTGGGTGGTCGTACTTTGTTTTATAATGCTTCTGAATTGCCTGGCACATTTTATTGCTGTTGCTGAAGATCCATTCCATTTACTGCTCTTAACAGAATATTTTCTTGAGCTGAATATAGACCCGAGGGCTATTTGATTATATTTACATTGACTCAAATATTCCAACAGGGCTTCATCTGAAAATCCAACTGGCTCTTATCATAAATACATCACGGACATTGGTTACATGCATATGATAAAATTCTTATTGCTTACTGCAAGACAAAAATAAATCTGCTGCAGTGCTACCTAACGGAAGGGTAAAATGTCTTTTATCCTACACATATTCATGGGTAGCTCAGTGGTTAGCACTACTGCCTCACAGCACCAGGGACGTGGGTTTGATTCCAACCTCAGGTGACTGTCTGTGTGGAGCCTGCACAATCTCCCCGTGTCTGTGTGGGTTTCTTCTGGGTGCTCCAATTTCCTTCGACAGGCCAAAGATGTACAGGTT